CAAATTTGCCTGAAATACAGTTTAAGGGATAGTGCAAAACACTTGAAGTTAGAAATTATATAATTTTTTTTATATAAAATTGACTAAAATAAACTAAGTTATATATTTTTTTAGCTTATTGTATCGATTAATTTTAAAAAATATTTTTAAAATTTAATTTTAGCCAATCAGAATGTAGAAATTCAAAAAACATTAAATTTTAATATAAATTTTTTTTTGAAATAAATCTTCTAAGAGAACAAGACTTTGAGATACTTATAATTTACTGGTTAACCCTTTGGCAAGATTACTATTTAATAAAAATAACTTGTCTATTATGAATACAGATACAGAGTTTCCTTTTTTTTTTCATGCTGCTTTTGATCAGCTCATATCAAAATTTTTATGTTATAATTCTAGACAGCAAAGAAAGACTATAATTACTCAAGAGGATTATGATTTAATAATTAGTATTTTAAAAAATCCTACAAATACATCTAATGGAACTGCAAAAGACTATTTTTGGACAAAAAAGGGTTTTTATTTGCATAATCTTAGAACATCCCAAAATCCTATTCTCCAACTTATGGAATTAAAAAATACAAATAAAAAAACAGAACAGGTTATTTGTCTATTTCAGAATCTTTATACTGTTCTTGAAAAGATACACAGTAGTGCACATAAATATTCTGGTTCCAAAAAGACTTTTGATGCAGTAAATATTGTTAAATTTATATTGGTGTTTTATTTTATTTCTAGTTTCTAATTTATTTTATATTTTAAATAAGTAACCAATATGCTTACATCTCTTGATTATTTGTGGAATTGTATATTGCTTAATGTAAGCAATGCTGTATACAGAGAAGTTTTTTTGCACCCATTGTTGGAAAGACTATTATTTCAAAAAAGTTCTTGCAATGTGTACAAGTTGATCTAGTTTCATTTGAAAAGTATCCTGATAAAGAATACTGATATATTGTGCATCTTTGTGATCACTATATATGGTTTTCATAGACATACGCACTATATACTAAGGAAGCAGCAGAAGTTGCAGCATTCTTATTTTCAGTTCTTACTGTCTTTGGTTCTTCATATATTTTGCAAAGTGATAATAGAAGAGAATTTATAGCTCAAATTATTTATGAACTTCTTAGTTTATGGAAAGAAATTCATATAATTAATAGGTGGCCTCGCCACCCTCAGTCACAAGGTTTGGTTAAAAACTCTAATAAGACTTTAAAAAATACTCTTTTAGCATAGATAGAAGATAATGATCGAAAAGATTGGAGTATTGGACTTCCAATAGTTACTTGTAAATATTTAATTTGTAATTTATTACTGAGTTATTTTATTAAAAATTT